ACTGCATAGTTATAACAATATTTGAATTGCATTGTCACCTGTCCTTTGCCACACATCCATTTTTTTATTCAGAATATGTGCTCTAAAATAATATTTTCAATTTTATCAGGTGTTATAGATGATAAGATATGATAAAATTATAAAGAAATAAGAAAAAAAATATAAGCATCTCATATGCTTAGATAAGTATTACAAAAGAAATATAAATTTTAATGACATTTAGTAAATAAAATATTTTCATTCATAAAACTTGTAAAAATCTCCGAGAAAGCAAAACAACATAAGAATGTAATTGATGTTAAATTAAATACAAATCTTGATGGCAAATTTTACTAATTTGAATTAAGCAATAATCGATAAAATGTTGAGAGTATCAATCCAGAAATTTTCAATGTCGTCTAAAGAATTTTTGTAAATAAAATGTTTTTTTTCTTGTATAACTTGATAATTTTGTATATTTACTAATAAACTTATCTATCACTTGATTAGAAAAATAAATATTAAAATTTTAGATGAATTAATCAAGTAACTAATTAAGAAAAAACATAAGCAAGTATATATAGTCCTAAACTTAAATAAATATGAATATGAAGTCATAGTTTAATATTTATTTATATAAGTAGCTTCAAATATGATATTACAAATATAATAAGAATATATAAAAAAACTTTTTAAATTAATTTTAAAAAAATAAACAACTTTTAACACATCTCCAAGTTCATTACTCCTTCATCTATTTTGCAAATCATAGATAAATTGCACAATTTTCTTTTGTTTCATAGAATTAAAAATATCAATATGTAATTGTAGGACATCCAAAATATTCACAATTTTTTTATTTATCCTCTCAAGGCAAACGTAATCTTTCTTCATGTAGAATCTTTTAAAAACTCGTTGTTTTCTCTCCTCTATGGAGAGTTTGGTATTCTTCTGATTTGAATTGAACTTCTCCTCCTAAAAAAAGTCTTATATATTAATCTTCCTCTTCTTTATAATCTTTTGATTTTTAAATAAATCAACCCAAGAAATATGATCGTATATTTCAGGTGAGCCCATATAAGGTAAAGATAAATTTAAAAAAAAAACATATTTTTATACAACTAAAAGTAACATTATTATGTAACTATACATAGTAAAACATTATCCAAATATTATTTTGATTTAATAATAATAGTATTAAAGCTAAAAATAAATCATATTGTTATATCGTGTTATCCTAATATTATATTTTAAAAAAAATATGTTATATAAAACTATAGATGACATTTGAACTTATTGAACATTGAATTAATAAAACTAAAAGCAATATAGATTTTGATAATAGGTTGTTATTGATTTCGGATTAAAAAATTATTTGTAAAATATGGATAGTACTAATCAAGAAATTTTTGAAGTCATGTTAAACAAGTTTAATTAAAGCTAATAGATTAACGAACCTATTGTGACCTTTAATAAGCTCTGAAGAATCTGAAGTTTACTATACATATTTAAAAAAAAATTCAAAATCATAGGATATGAATTCAAATAATGTAAAACAACTCATTCAATGATGATATCAATATGTTAGGAGCTATCATCAGTGATTTCCAAACAACAAAGGATCTAGGCACCACTCAAAAGTGTTTGTCTGGGTAAAGTGATGCAACACTTTGATAGGAAACACTTGAAGATCTCAAGTGAAACATAACGATCTTGACAAATTCAGCGAGGATACTCAGCAAGTAGAGGAAAAATCAAAGAAAAATAGCCCACTTTATTGAGAAAAATCAACTAACGAAAGAAAAACAAACAAGATACAAGTGATCCTCAATTCGAGAGGAGGATCAATCTCTCCTGATTCTCTAGACGCCGCTAGAGTCCAAAGGAAACCTAAACCTAAGAGATCTCAAATTTCAGCCAAATTCAGGATGCCCTAACCCTAGGAAAATAAATTATTTAATGTATACAAATCAAAGAGAAATCCCTAAACAATCCCTACATTCAAATTTCCCTCAACTCCCTCAAAAATCTTTCCTAAACAGCTCACACAAGCCCGGGCATCCGTGAGGCACGTGCAGGTGGACATTTTTGCCTCTGTTCACGTAAGCCTATCCCGTCGGACTGATTGAACCGGTCTAACAAACTCATCCCTATAAAATGAACGGGGCTAAATTTGAATTTTTAGAAGTTCTTATATTTCAAGTTCAAGATTTAAAGTAAATAGATTACTTTAAACTAGTAAACTACTAAAGTTTGTAGCATGCATAGCCTACAATCTATCCAAAAATCACAATTATCTATTCCATCTTCATCATTCAATTTCTCTTTTATAGTATTAGATTTCCAGACATTCATTTCCTACTCTACCTCCTAGCACTCTTCTTTATCCTTAAATTTAGTACTACAAAAACTTAAATCTCATATATCTATAGTTTGTTGAATATGATCCAAATGCACATGTGTTTCTCATACCCTTGATGCTCTTTTCATATAAACGCATGCCAATTTATCATAATGGACACTAAATCATCTTTCACATTTGAAGTATTATCACCAACTCTTTTTTAGGCACTCAGCTCACGGCAATGTACCTTTAGATAAAGCACTTGCTTAGACACATCTTAATAATCATGCTCACCTAAGAGATGTGTCAAACTCTACCTGCCTCTCCTTACCTTCCCCAACCACCTAGGAAATCTAAAGCTAGCCTTTAACATTACCACCTTTAATACAAACATTTTTTCTTAAAAGCACATCAATTAAATTTAAAAGGTAATTGATTATATGCCTTCTCAATATTAATAAAATTCAAATGATCAATTCTTAGCTCTCTATAATTTATATTTTATATTAATTTCCTTTGACCAAAAATTCAAATCATTTACAAACAATGATCAACTCCAAACCACACTGAATGAAGCTCATCCTCTCAATTATTTGACATCCTCAAAATCTAAGCCAAATTGCTTCAATATCATCTATAACTCACAAAATTTCAATAGGTATCTCATATAGAAATAATTTTTTACCTATGTAGCATGGATACTCCTATTTACAAGGCATGCTGTATCGGACACGTGTCGGATACGGATACGCCTCCAATACGATACAGATACGTGTCAGATACGGCTTTGACGTGTCCAATTAAAATATTATTTAAATTTGACCAAACACCAGTATCGAATACGCGTGTCCTATTTAAAAAAAAAAAACAGAACCGCAATTTTCCCTATTCATTTCGTCTATATGCTTGTTATCCCTATTCATTTACGCGACTTAAACATTTCGGCGAGCTAGGTTTTTCATTTCTACACAGGTGTTTGCCTTCTTCGTTATAGTCGTGAGCATAGAAGCAGACAGGATCATCCTTCGTCGACGAAGATGCTCGACGACGAGAGCATAGAAGCGAAAAGGATCATCCTGCGTCGACGAAGAGGCTCGACAACGCGAGCATTAAAGCCGACAGGATCATTCTTCGTCGACGGAGCGGCTCGACGACGCGAACAGTGAAGGTATTGCTCGGTACTGCTCAGTACTCGGTATCGCTCAGTACTCGGTACTCTGTACAGCTCGGTACTGATCGGTACTGCTCTGTACTGGAACTCGATACCACTCAGTACCTCTCCGCAACGCTCGGTACCATGCTCAGCATCAATGCCCGGTAACGATGGGTACCAGATGGTACCAAGAGGCATTGAGAAGCTAGAGAAAGCTTTAAAATAACTCTTACGATACAAATTTGTTCTGGGGGCGCTGCCCCTTGACCCCGCAAACCCCGCCAGGGGACAACGCCCCCTTGGACCCCCGACATATCCGCGACATATCTACACTTTTACTTAAAAATTTTTATGTTTCAAATTCATATGGTTTTATTTGTGTCGATCCTTCATAGAATAATGAACTCTAGTGGCGTAGGAATTGGGTCTGAATTGGAATTTATGATATTCATTGAATATGATATAGAAATTCAAAGACAAACCACTGAAAAAGCTAATCATATCATTCATTCTATTGAATAGTTGAAACTTCATCTACTGGACAATTTATATTTTTGTTTTTTTTATTGTACTAGACATTTAAATATTTAATTCTTACTTTTATTTTGATATTATAAGATACAATGCTACAAATGATATTGCATTCATTTTTTTTTTTTTTTGTCATTTCAAATATTATGCTTTGATTAATTTTTTTTTAAGTATGATTTATATATTATAATGTTGTATCTGAGCCGTATACGTATCCTGTATTTTTAAGAATTGTCGTGTCCCGTATTCGTATCATGTCGTATCCGTGTCGTCATATCCGTATCGGTGCACCATAGATGTTTACCTTTATGTAGATCTTTTTCGAAGCAAACCCCACTTCAACCTTTTTGGAAAACTCAAAACCTAATTATTTTATTCCTTATGTTATACCAAAAATATTTCTTTCTTAAATTTCAAATAAATCATTATTTGAAGTAGCTTGATGTTATCATCTTTTAAGTGAAACTTGCTACCATTGAGTTTAATGAAATTAACTTTTCCAAAGTCTAGTATCGGATCTCGTGCCCTAGTTGTTTTATACGCCAACTTTATTTCCTTTTCTTAATACCTAGCGAATTATATAAATCATTAGAAGATTTAAATCTTGCATTGTTTACCACCCTCTTATGCTAGAATTTTAGCTTTGCCAATTTAGAAGAATGAAAATTTAGATGAATGATTATGGCCTCAAACAAAACCTTCACATCAGTAATCTCATTGGTAACTAGAGCGTGTAACTAACAATCGAAGCAAAGCATCAGTTCAAAGCACGGTCTTGGTGATATAAGTCCACATCGGGGTTTCAAAATACAACACGATCAACGCAGATGTGCAATAATAGAATTCTCGCAAAACAAATAAGACGTTAGGCAAATCCACATGTGAAGTTAAGAGGATAAATCACGCTAACCACATAATTTTCTCAGTTAATCTCAACGACTTGCAAACAAAAAAATCGTGTCGTTTTCAAGGTTAAAGAGTTTAAACCCTAACCTGGCGGCGTATGCCAGCAACGCTTAGGATACCGCGATAGGCTTTAGCTGCTCGGATGGAGGCCTTTCTTCAGAGGAATCTCTAAAGTCGTCGGGATTGTAGATAACGGTGATGTAAAGAGAACAGCTAGGGCAGCGAGCGATTTCCTCGCCGATGCGGAGTTCCTCCTTGGTGATCTGAAAGAGATCGCCGCAGGGACAAGGGTACGTGAACGCCTGGATTTCCTCGCTCCATTCCATGTCCTCGATCTCTACGTCGTCGTAAGACATCTCCGATGATCGCCGACGAGCCTCGGTGATTAGCAGTATACTCCGAAGGAACGCCAACAGAAGCAACACAATGGAACGGGAAATCAAAGAGGCGCGGCTAAATATTGGACCGAAACGAAAAATAAGAGGAAGACCGTCAGTTACGAACCTTCTAATTTGAACGGTTAGGATCGAAAGAGGGTAAAAGCGGATTCGGATTTATCAAGCGGGTGGGAGAATCCGACCCGACCGGCAGAAAATTCAAATAATAAGACTATAAAGAAAAATGATCAAATGTATTGATCCTATTGGATATTAATTCAGAAATTAAAGTTGTTTAAAAAAATTTTGAATCTAATAATCATGCATTTCTTTTTTTTAATTATTACTTATTCATATATTTTCTAGAAATTAACTTTTTTTATTAAACATTTAAGAAATCTAAAATTATAAAAATAAAATTTGACTATAAGATATAATTATTTATTTAATATACTTAGTTAAAATTAATATTATTTATGCTCATTAATTTTTAAATGTAAATTAAATTTATTTAATTAAAATTTAATGAATAAAAAATCAATGACCATCTAAAAAGCAAAGTAGTAAGAATGTTGTATGAAATGAAGCCTTCATCAAATAATAAGTTAAATTAAAATGAAACTATTATGTAGTAATTTTTAGTTTATTTTTATTTACTACTTAATTTTATTATTTTAAATAAAATAATGACTTTCTTAATCATCATATTTATGGCCGAATCAAATGCCTTGACAATAGAAATCCTAAATATTAGAAGTGATCTAATTTGAGTTCAAATCAAGGCTAAAAGTGTAATTGAAAACTTCAAGACATAATTGGATGACTAAGTGGTCTCAAAATTTGGCATGATTTTAGTCAAATTGAGGACCTCGACAAGACGAATCAAATGAACGTTTGCCGGCAAAGCGCCATTGACGGACATCCGCTGCCCGATCATTGGTCTCTTACATGTGTCACCCCACTACATGCATCGGACCTCTGTTGTCTGCCCTCTATCGTCGAACCATTAATTATCGAATGTCGCCATTGGACCTTATATTAACCAGTCATCACCTTTGGACCTTCACCATGTGGTGGCCATCATTAAACCATAAGTCACTCAACTCCAAACTTCTAAAAGGATCATATCTTACTTTTTGATGATTAATAAAAATAATTTTTATTTAAAATTAAAAAAAATAGTAAATCTCAATTAAATTAAAAATTAATGTACAAAAAATTCATTTAATTAAACATATTGTTTCATTAAATTTATTTTTAATTCATTATTTTTATATTAACTATATTCAATTTACTTAGTTAATAAAAATTTTAATGAGCAAAATATATTTAATAAATATGAAGTAAGCAACATTAATTTTATCTAAATATATTAAATATAAATAACTATATCTTGATATTAAATTTTATTTTTATAACATTCTAATAAAACCTTTCTTATAATATTAGATTTCTTAAATATTACATTGAAATTTTTAATTTCAGAAAATATATTAATAAGCTATAATTTAAATAGGAAAGCAAAAGGGCGAAATAAGAAAAACATTGAAAACATAAATTAAATTTTATGTTTTCTTCAAAAAATGTAAATTTAATTTGCATTTTCTTAAAAAAACATAAATTCAATTTGTGTTTTCTCAATTTTATGAGAAAACGTTAATTCAATTTACGTTTTCTAAAAAATCATAAATTTAATTTGTGTTTTTGTACCTATTTGAATGAAATTTAAGTTATGCTCCTTTAACTTATTTTCGTTTGAAATGTACTCCAAATTAAAATTTCACCCTATATATAATACAACCATAAATAACAGTTATAATAAAATTTACTAAGGATCCTTATTCAAATTTAGATTAATTCTTCAAATTATCATGACTTTTATAAAATTATATAAAGCAAGCAAGCAAAAGGGGTGATTGTCTTATATAGTAATGTTAGATTATATACTCATAGCATCAAAATATTTACTTTCAAAGTAAAAAAAAAAAATACGACACAATATCTTATTAGTAATTAAATAAATAAAGTTTTTGAACATTAGTTCTAAGATAGTTTGCAAATAATGAAGAAATAAAATATGAATGAGACAAATCATGCATGGGCCACTCCATAAACATATTTAACATACATTGATAAACTTTAGCAGACCTATGTAAAGCTAGCGGGTCTCCACAAAAGTTCATTGTGTCTCTTAAGGTCAGCTTCGGAGTTGGACAAATAATGGATCCTAGTCATTTGGAGCCTAAGCATTTGCAAAATAGTATGAATTTTGAATGTTGGATGTTAGTAAAAATATGGGAATCCTTTATTTCATTATGTTTAATTATTTATATTCTCTTACACCATTGTCCTAAAATCTAATGCTTATATGAAACCCTAGGCCTCCACTTCAAAGCGAGTCTTGGACCTCTTTCTCATAGCAAAACCTTTGAAACTAGAGAAACATAATGTTTGATTTGCTTGAAGGAAGCTTTTGATATTTTGGTGTTGATGAACTCATCATTTTCATGCAATATCACATTAGCATGTAAGCTATCCCACAGTTACAAAAGGGTTTAATTAGATAGAAAGAATGTATTTTGAGAAAATCTTTGCAGTGGTAGCATGATTGAGGTTATTAGATTGTTACTTGCAATTGTATGCTTCAAGGAATCAAATAGATTTCAAAAGTATCTTTCTAAATGGTGTTATAGAACTTGATGTGCTTGTTGAGTAGCTATCTAGCTTTGAATGCTTAACTAGGGGTGTTAAAATTGGTTTTTGGGTCGGGTTCAGGTCCAACATGAAATTGAGCCGCTATTAATATGCCCGACCCAAAGTTAATCCGTTTATCTAGACAAGTTAAAATCTCATACTAGAACTTGACACGCCGCCAATTCAACCCGACATGACCTGACTCACTGACCCCAAACAAAAGCTACACTGAATTTCACCCGCACGAAGAGTGTGGCATCCTCCGTCCTTTCAGTCTCCATATCGATGACAATGCTGACATAGATGCGATGAAGAATGGCATAAAAGGGCTTACTAGATTAATAGATTTCCTCGAATGGATTAAGAGAGTTATCTCACGAGTGTTCTCGGGAGTAGGGGTCGGTGTATCCCCATCATCGTTGAGAGAAAGAACATATTAGTGGTTGAGATTAAGGAGATTGGAAGTGTTGGCAGAGAAAGCGATGATTCTAAAGGACTAAAGGTTGTCGCCCTAAAATCTAAATCGGAAGAATTCTTCTATTTTATCTTTTAATATAACAACACCATAGCTATTTAATATCTTTTATCAATAATAATAATATCAGCTGGAACTAATCTAGTAATCAAAATATGAATATATGTATGTATTCATTGCTTAAAAAATCATATAAAATACTCAAAAATCATATGATTATAAAAGTCATCCAATCCTAAGTACAAAATAATAACTACAAAATAGAAATAAATAATAATAAACTTGAAGAATCATGATCAATCTTACACTCCTGATCATCTACCCTGATTTGAAATTATTTAAACCACGTATAATGAGCTAAAAAGTCTAGCAGGTTACTAAATTCTACAATTGAACTTAAAATACATTAAAGAATGAAAATGCATGTTATCAATTAATTTATAACATTAATAGTTAATATGATTATAACTTTATGAAGAAATAGTAAAGCCTGCATATAATAACAATAAAATCTATGAAATATTAGAAAGGTACGATAGATAAGCTAGTAAAATATGAAAATTAGTAAACTAGTATGGTTATCTAATCAAATCAATAAAGTAGTCATTGCATTTAATCAATAAGAAAATCATATAAATCGATATAACCAAAACCTCGATGAAGATAGTAGAACCCATATCCATACTATAAGAAAATAATATTATGCCTCAGTATGAAGTCAATATCGTATCTTTGTCATGGGTTGAAATTATAATTTCAATTTCTTTGCATCCTTCCAAACCAAAGCAAAAGCAAAACCTTTTCCTACTAACATCCTAACGCTGCTAGGTGGACATCATATCATTTCCCACCCGTCTCACTCTTTTTATAAGCTAAAAAACATCATGAATATGAAAAGGAACTAAGGGGAGCCTCAAATTTTCTCTCAAGCTCCTCAAAAATATATACCATTTTTCTTATGGAGTACTAACTAGCTGAGAGTACATGGCAATAGTAGTAAACTTTGCCTCACACTACATCATTATCTTGCTCCTTTGGACTAGTCTTAGAAATGACTTCTACATCTGTTATCTTGAAGATGGTGGCACAAACTAACTCCTAAATGTCTCCATAAATTGCTCCCAAGAAATCTCCACATTCGGTCTGTCATGAAAGTTCTTCCTCTGCTGGCCTATCCACCAACGCTCTACTTTTCATCAATTAGAAATTTAGCTAGAATAATACGTTGGAAAATTATTGAAATTGTTTAAAAACATTTTTCTCGTGAGAGAAGCTCACGTTTTCTAGTGAGAGAAAATCTAGTAAGTTATTGATTTCCCAGTTTTTCTACGTATGACGGGGGTTGATCGGCGACATTCGTCGTCGAGCAACCCTTCTTTTTTGCCTATTCCAACTCTGAAGTCGATGATGTGATCTCCTTTGGTTATTAAAGATCAGCTAGTTAATGAGATTGCGAAAGGTTTTCGTATGAAAGAAATTTGCTATGGTAAGGGAAAAGGTCTAATAGTTGAGAAGATTGGTGATCCTGAAAAGGAAAGAAAGGATTTGCTGCATCAAAAAAATGATTTGGAAGCATCAAATGAGATTGCTTATGAAATTGTGGCGTCTAAGAATTCTAGTGTCGCCTGTAATAAATTGCAGTATATTAAGGTGGTGAATTTAGAAATTAATTTTGTTATGACTGAGGATGGAATTGTAGTCAAGCTTCAGATTAAAAATGAGAAGAATAATATCTATAGGCTTCATAATTCTATTGTTGTCAAAGTCTTTGGCAATTTAATTTCATACCCTATCATTAGCAATGAGTTGTGTAGACAATGGAGCCATCTAGGGGCTTTTCATCTTACCAACTTAGGTATGGAATGGATGTTTTGTTCATTTCATTCTAAGGAAGTTGTATTGAGTGGAGGTCCA